AGAACAAAAGAAAATCATCCGCTTATCTATTTCACAAATACACTGTATAGGTTGAAATTTTAAATCGTTATTGAAATATTAGAAGAATTACGTTCAAATGAAAGTTTACATTTTCGCTATTCACCACTTTTCGCAAAATAAATTCAATATTTATATAACGACTTTAAATTATTAGTTGCGATTTTGCTCATAATTTATCAGAATTTTTGCTCTCAAAACACGTTTGCTTCATTTTCAATTTTAGCAATCTACTTCGATCAGCTTTGGTCGTGGCATACATTCATTGGCAAGTAAAGAAGGTTCAGAGACAGCCGGAATTATTCAATGTGAAGCTGATATTTTATTAACTGATGCTCATATTTATGAATTAAGCCAACTGACATGGCCATCACTTCATACTATTCGAATTCGTGCTTGTCAAAATGTTTCACTATTTGCCACTCAATATTTAAACCAATTTAAGAACGTACAAGGAAATCCTATCGAAGTGGTATGATTTGTTTTTCTTTCCATTAAATAGAGTTTACATACGATTCACAGATAATTTCCAAAATGCTGAGTGCTGTTTCATGAATATTTTCTCTTTGAAACCATCGAATTTAGAGTACAAAATTTTTATCAAAAGAATTTAATAATTCAAAGCTCACACTCATGAAAAAATAAAACCTTATTCTTCTGGTAAAATAACTTCTTTATTAAATGGAGTAGATGAACAGGTGCAAAAAACAATACTCTAAAGTTTTCGTCAACTATGGGCATTTGTTTTCCGGAGCATCTATATTATGCACATAAATTCAAAACAGTGAAAAATTTCGTGTACTAACTGGAAAATGGCTACCTAACGAGCGAACCGCCCCAGGTGCCCAACTCCGATTACCTCCATTCATACGTCGTTTTAAAGAGCACATCGAGCTGGTAAAAGGCCTAAATGGATTTTTGCCTATGGCTCTTGAAGTCTCGGTTTTCTGCAAAAACCAGTTTTTAAGAAATTCTAAAAAATAATCAAAACCTTTCATAATGAGGCATAATTATAGCCCGCACATTTCTGATTAAAATGAGACGTCTCCCAGCTCTACACGACCTTTCTTTACAAAGTTACAGAATTTACAAGAAAAGCCCTAAACGTTCATTGTCAGCTCAAAGCTGTAGAAATAAGAAGAAATTAATTTAGCAGTTTTCTTGTAAATTCTATAACTTTGCAAAGAAAGGTCATGTAGAGCTGGAAGACGTCTCATTTTAATCAGAAATGTGCGGGCTATAATTATGCCTCATTATGAAAGGTTTTGATTATTTTTTAGAATTTCTTAAAAACTGGTTTTTGCAGAAAACCGAGACTTCAAGAGCCATAGGCAAAAATCCTTTTAGGCCTTTTACCAGCTCTATGTGCTCTATAAAATGAGGTACGAACGAAGGAAATCGGAGTTGGGCACCTGGGGCGGTTCCCTCGTACGTGATTTTCCGCTACTAACCATCCCAAACAAAACAAACTTTTTTCTAGAACTGCTTTAACCTAGGTAGAAATGACGCTAGATAAATATTTCTTAGTTAAACTGGGTTATGCTAGGTCTAGCAAAATGTTTTGGGCTTAGGATTTCACAATAAAGTGACAGTAAATGTGTTCCGAATAAAGGCTGATTAAGAAAACAGAGAAATAAGTGATTTTCGATAGAGGAAACTTTCAGACATGCATCAATGATAAATTTGAAGTTAAGTTATCAGTTTATTCTGATATACCTCACCACGATAAAACAACTAGGATGGCTAACATGAAAAAGAAAGCTGTAGCCTTAAATCTGTATCTGTCATGACTCAGGCGTGATAGAAATTTTCTGGAGATATCCGTATTTGTCGAACTGTAGATCGAGAACGCTTAGAAATAAATAGAAACATAGATTATCAATTCCTCTGAATCTTGTGGCAGGGTCTATTTTCAGAAAAAGTCAATAATCTAGTGGAGATCCATATCGAGTGAAATAACACATTTATTTTCATCAGAAATCAAAAAACTCATAATTCAACTATAATCAGTATAAATTCTTTCAAAATATCAAGATATACTCTACCTTATCTATGCTGTGTCATGAATTGCAATAAGTATCATAAATACCTACAGAAAACACTATGGCTCTTGAAAGAGTGTTCTAGACGCCTCTTGAACAGAATGCTTTTTACTAATTTGAAGTACAGAATCAGATTGAGCGAATATGTGTGAACTTTAACCTTCTTCTGTACTTAAAATTAGGCTTGCACCTAGACGAGAAGTCTCCAGAAGTCTCGATGCTGTAGTCTTTAGTCTTGGTATGATGGAAATTTTTTTGTAGCTACTCTTATTGCTTGTATAGAATCTTAAAAAGCTAGAAGGAAGAGCAGTAGAAAATATTGAAGAGAATAGTGAGTATAAAACTGCTACGAAATACATGATAAGATTTTGACTAAATCCAATATTCTATTTGACTTTCAAGCTTTCGATGATAATGATGATGTAAGAAACGCATCGAAAGCCTGAAAATAAAATAAAATATTGAATTTAGGTAAAATCTTCTTATGTGTTTCGTAGCAATTTTATACTCACTATTCTCTTGTATAGAATCTTCTTATTTGCTGCGAAAATCGAGCAAACTGTTTTCTGTAGCAGAAATTTTTCTGATTTAGATAAGACGAGTGAAGAAAGACTTTCCTTTAGTCACTGTATATTTGAGTATCCCAATCATTTCATCCCCATCATTGAGTGAGTGTAGCGTAGCGCAGCTAAAGTCAAGGGAATGAACGAATCGTGGATGAACATTATCTAGTGTGTATATAGATTTCGATTCATCTGCATTGATAATCGTCACAAATTGTTTTATGGAAGAACATGATACAAATTTGAACTTTAGACTCTGCGGTTTAACGGTCCTCCTCTGTGAGGAGTGTATTTTCGTCTGATTAAGTTGAATCCTGGTGAAGCTCTTATAGAATATCAAGCATGTCGCAGATAGTTTACAGTAATAATTTGGAGTTCATATCTCATGTGGTTCGGAGTCAAAATTGTAACGCGTTAAAGATTACTCCTATTCATTTGATATACAAAGTTCGAGATAGTTTAGCTGTATATAGGAAACTCACGGCTATGGCGCTATATAAGCAAATGTTCCCAAGTTTTCTTGGTTTTCGGTATAGTGCGTTGCTTCAAAACTTCGAGAAACGTCACATATGTTTTAAAGTTCAATCTTTTTCTCAAATGTTGAACCCAAAATCAAATATACGACTTGCGGCGTTGCAAGCGCGAGTTTCCTGTTTAAAACGAACCATGACGAACTTTGTAGCCACAGAAGAAAAATATTTCATTTAATAGAAAAGTTGGTCTACATAATTTTATTTATTTCGTAGAGATTTGAATTATTTGAAAATGAATCAACGTATCCATTAATGGCCTATCAAACGTTTCAGACAAGTACGCGATCATTATTAGATACCGTGTTTTCAAAGGTAAGTAGATCTTGGGTTGCTCGCTGGAATCACATGTCTATTTGAATATTTGCAGATAAACGAGCAGAAACAATTACAGTCGAAATTACTTATTTATCATTCGAATCAAATGCCTTCTGGTCAACATGACATACTTTTGAATCATATAAAACAATACGATAAATCATCAACGTTACCTTCACCAGAAAATAAACAAGAAAAGAAAGATGTTGACGAAGATACTTTCTACATTGGTTATCGGACAATAAATGAGAATAATGGCAATGAATGTGCAATTCATGCAATTGAATGTACAACGGTATAGTGATGGCATTCTTTTAGCAATAGAGCCCTCCTTTGCATCCATTTTTAACTAGTCGATCATTTCTACTCTTTGTTTCAAAATACGTAAACAACACAAACTTCTTGAGCACATTTTGAATGAAGATAGATAACACTATGTTCATCATATCAAATCTGGCATCGCATAATCTGGATTATGTGATGCCAGATTTGATGTCAGATCACATTTTTGAGTGGTTTGTGCCATTTTTAGTGAAATATTATTTTTAATATTTCATAAAAGTAGGTAAACACGTTTATATCCGTAAAATGAGGTTTCTCTTGCTTTTATCGACGTTTTTTGGGAAAACAAGCATATCATAGTACTCAGCTCTCTCAATTATTGGGAGTTAATGAAATAGCATTATACCATTAACGCAGATTCGTGATTGAGATTTAGAATTTCCTAGGCGTTCTTCTATGTACTAAAGTGTACTTTCAGTTTTATCGTTCGTCGCTACTCTCTAAAAAAAATCCGTAGCTTACTAAACGAATATCGGTTTTGGCATTTGCTCCTAATAGAAACCGATATCCGTATCGTACGGTCCTGCATAACCGTTTCGCAGAATACGTTTCAACGTTTT